CTCCAAAAGAGCTGGCAAATTGCTCATGTAAAATATGCTCATGTAAGAGGAAAACCACGCAGCTGTTCATGTAAAACAGGTAATCACTTCCCCTGGATTCTGTAACTACAGCAGGGTATAACACAGGGCCTCTTGCTGCTCCCCAGGAATTTAACGGCAGCGCTCTCACGGAGTTCAGCGTTCCAGGATCTGCTCCAGGGCCGTCGCCTCCAGAGGTTTGTGCTGCTGCGGCCGTGCTTTGAACCCACGAAACGCCCTGGGCTTCAAACACAGGGCAGCCTGTGCCCCTGCTGCTGCCGCTGGAGCGGGCGCCACGGCCGGCGCGGGCAGGAGGAGCAGAGCAGCTCGCCCAGGATCCCGGCCCCGGGAGGGGACACAGCCCCGTCCCCAGGGCAGGGACGCACAGGCGGCTCCAGGAGCCCAAAGGAAGGACGGAACGGAGGGAGGAAGGAACAGAGGGAGGAAGGAACGAGCCCGGAAGGCAAGAGAGGATGGAGGAGTGGAAGGAGAAAGGGGAGCCCAGGGGCTGCGTCCTCCCACCGCATCACTCATTGCCTAAGCGCGAGGCAACACCGTTGCATTAAAAATTCCATGTTGCATTTTGTAATACAGGAAATCAGGCCTTCATCCAGATGTGCCTTCACCAAGTATATCGTTTATGTTTATTATTAGCTTCCTGAAGTCCCTTAGTCCCTTAAGCTTTACATTTGTTTTTTCTTATATATATATATATTTTTATGTCTGTAAAATATGTAATTGTAATTATATAAATGTATACATTATAATTATATAATTTTATATATATAAAAGAAAAAAAATATATTTTTTTTTCTTTTATGTAAAACATCTCAATCAGCTGTGTCATTGTTAAAGCCTCACAATACCTCCTGAATCTGGGAGAACTTAACCTACTATTAAAATCAGTAACTTGTATAATCATTAAAGATTTCTAATAAAGGCTTTGGTACAAAACAAGATTAAAAAGAAATAATAATAATCTCAGTCATCTCAACCAAAAATCAAATATTACTGTCTCCACAAAGGCAGCCTCTGACCTGCCCAGGGGCTAGGATTGGATGAAGTCTTCCATAATGGATTTTAGGTAGTCCCTGTACAGCAAATACTTTACGTTAATGTCTCCCAAAAGAAACGGGGTGTTTTCTGCAGCCTGACACAGTCTGATTACCCTCCTGTCAGCAGACAGGGGGGTTGGTTTCCTCTGGCAGCTGCTGGCAGCACTTTCCCTCCAATAAAGTGAGGTCCTGCACAGGCCGGGGATGATAGCAGCAAGTGGGAAGTTACTTCACATTAGAGCATCCTAACGAGACTCCTTGAGAGCGTCCTCTTCCAAAGGATACCCCAGTGGGAAGACAACACGTTTCACCCCCCATCGAGAGGGTCAGGGAATCTCCAGTGCCACCAGAATCCGGCTGCCTGGGAGCGCTCCCAGAAACAGAGATGTTGTGAAGACCAGTGCAGGAGATGACTGGGTTTTGAAACAAAATCTCAGACGGTTGTTTTATGGTTAGCTATGAGACAGGGCAGAAACAGTCTCATCTCAGAAAGGGTCCCTGAGGAAAAGGCAATGACTGAGAAACCAGTGATGAAGAGGAACCTCCAGCTTCCTGGATACACTTGCTAGATGAAAGACCCTTTCAAGACTGTGTTCTTTGACCAGCTGACAGCAAAACTTAGCTCACCCCTGCTTTATGCACTGAAGTAGCAGACAGTGCAGAACCGGCAATGAGAAACCAGGTATTACTGGTTCCTGCCAGCCCCGGGCTCTGGGACGGAGGATGAGAGGGGCAGATGCAAGCGCAGGCTCAGCCAGTCTTACCGTGTGGTTTCCTTCTCTTCCGAGTCCCCCTGCTACTAGGGCTCGCTGCAGCACTCCCCTTAGTGACCAGGCAGCTGCCCCAATGCTCCTGTGTCATAAACCAGGCCCCTCCGTGAGGCAGGGCAAGCCTACAAAACCAAACTCCACTGAGTCTGCGGGGACTGCAAGGTCCCGAGACGTTCCTGGACAGAAATACCTGAAACAGCCAAGATCAAGCTGAAGTTTCCCTATTGCCAATTAAGCCAGCTGCTAACATGGAATAAGCTGGAAACACCATGGGGATCAGC